TTAGCATAGCACTAATGCTTCGGGCGGACTACTTAAATAGGCAACCAAAAGTTGTACGTGTGACTAGTTGTACTCTCGTTATTATGATGTAATATGTAAGCTGTCTTCGGACAGCCCACCCATTTGAACTAATAAAGTGCCAGGGGCCTAAGTGATCACCTCAATATTAAAAAAAAAAAAAAAAAAAAAAAAAAATTTTAGGTTAATAATATTAGAATATAAAATAATGTTTATAAGAGTAAAATCTCAATGCTTTTATAGCTTTGACTACATTTAAGATAAGGGTTTACAATAATAATTTACAACATGATTATAATAAGGCTTTGCTTCACTTTTGTAATATTTTATATTATAGCTACTTTTACTTCTTTCTTAATTTTCGTTTTTTCTTCTATATATACTTGATTTTTAGATTTTATTATTTTCTTTGGCCAATAAGCCTCAACTGATAAACCAGTATTTCTTGAATTGATTGCTTTTCAATCATGGGTTCTATGCCAAATTTGTCAATCTACCTTTTAGCCTGTGACAATACATATACCTGTATATAATAGTTATTTGTAATTATTAGTTGTTTATTATCATAATATAATAGCTAACAATTGATTATATGTAGAATATATGTATATGAAACTCACAAATTCACAAATTCATAAAACTTATAGATAAAAAAAAAAGTTGCAAAATTCATCGATTTAACTAAATTAAAAAGAGCAATAATTACACAGAAATCAAAATAATTGTCACAGCTGATACTAAAAATTTTGATTATTTTATTATTAAATTTTTAAAATTTTTTGGGATGCATTTTTTTAGTCTTCATATAATAGTTTGAATAGAGTTTAGAATTAGAGTTTATTAATTAAAGTGTATAGATGGGTTTTAGTAGGTTTTATAGTTCTAAATAGAGACCTCAAAATATTAGCATTAGCTATAGAAATCACTAATTTAATACAAGCAAATACAGAATTACCTATATAGAATTCGTGATAATTTTAATGAAAACTATCTTGACCTTAATTACATAGAAATCATAATTTTGGGACAAACTAAATATTGAGGTTGTTGAAATGGTGAATAAACTCTATAACAAAATTTTTATAGTAAAAATTATGAAAATTCAGATATATTCAGATGCAAATTAACTCAATTATAAATAAATCATGATAGTTTCAATGCAAACTGACTCAATTTTAAGTACAATACTATCTTAATTTTATTTGTGTATTACAGTTGCCAACTAGAAATAAGAACTTTTTTACAAAAGAGGTTATAATAATTTTAATACGAACTAACATAATCTTAATCACATAGAAATCATGACAATTCTAATATGAATTAATTTAATTTTAACCATGTATTATAATTATCAAAATATCAAGTAAGTTCTGTATAATTTTTCAATAATATTAATCATAATATTTTCAATAAAGCTAACACAACCTTAAACACTGTATGTATCGCATTAGCGAGTAAATTCTGTGCTAAACCTTTTTACTATAACCCATAGTAGAAATCACTCAACTTTGACCACTTGATGCGATCACTATTATATACCACTGGAATAGCGAGTAAGTTTTACAAGAATAATTTACAGTAACTCATAAAATAATTGCGATAATTCTAACATAAACTAACTAGATCTTATCATATAATGAGATGTTGAATAAGTTTTGGAAGAAGGTTCTTGTGATAAAAATCACGATAATATGAATGCAACTAACTCATTCGCATATATATCAATCAGATGGTGATTAAATTATATAGATCTGAATATCCTATTGATATTTTTATTCCTGATTTAATGCAACAACTATCTTACATATTTTGAATTTTGCTTGTCTGATCGTACTGGTCCTGCGCGGCATCACATGCTACACAGCTATCTTATTGTATATCTTGTACTAGAAAAAGACTGAACAACTTGCACAAAAATTATTATAACTGTGTTATTAGTCAAATTGTCATTAGCAAATATTTAATAGGTATACTAATTGTATACATACCGGGCCCACATTCACATTCTCTAGTTTTATTATTATTATAAAAATCCGTTTTGCCAAATCCGGTTCGTTATAGCCCGATTTTGGTATAAGCAGGTTATCCAGAGTTGAGAATACGTAGTAATTTATAATTACAGTATATATGTCGACATCGGAACGAAATTATTGTAGATTTAAGAATACAATTAGGTTGGAACGGTGTTGTAATATATTGTCCAGATATTTATTTGCAGCTCTCTCTACCTGATGACCGAATATTAAATTATCCATTTTTACGTAATTTATTCAAAGGATTGCTTTCCAAATATTTTAGTAATGAGTCGGCAAATAGGCAACAATAGAGCCTTACGTGAAGACTTTTGTTTTTGCATTAAGATTTTACAAGATTCAGTAAATACAACAATTGAGGATGCAATATGTGATTAAAATAGTATTCTTTCAATGTTTATAGGCAGTGATGGGTTTGGGACATCTACATTGGGACATTTTGAGACATTTTGGGACAATTTTATTACTCAAAATTTTATTAAAATAATCTACTTTAATTTTTTTAAAAATAGATCCAGCATCTAAATATATATATAATTGTATATTTTTTTAAATTAATTTATTAATTATTAAAACTTGGGACATTTTGGGACACTGTGACGTTGGGACGTAGCAAAAAAGCTTGGAACACTGTCCGAACCCATCACTGTTTATAGGCATCTGAAAAACATCTATTATGCATTCCTCTTCACAAGTAGGTAATATTTAATGCAATTGTAAAATTGCATGAGACAAAATCGCTGTAAATGTAAAAATAAATATGCCCTGTAGGAATAGTTGCTATCATAGATGTAAAAATTTCGTGTCATGTTTTTAAATTTAATTAATAATGCACTATGTTATGAATAAATCCTATCTTAAAGTAATTTAAATTCCAAAACAACGTACTCGATTGTGGAATTCTTTAACAACTCGGGCACATTTTAGAATTCTATTATAATCTATGTTTATTCGGAATCCATTTCGACGTACGTACATATGTATCGATTTATAAATTTTACATTACATAATTGAACCGTTTTGCATATGTTAACTGTTAAACTGATACTTGTACGTACGCGTGATTAGCTGTTGATCAATTAATGTTGCGAAATTCGGATCACCCTAACCTTAACCAATCAGATGCATTAATTTCAGCATTATCCAATTTCATGATCATCCGCGACAACAGATAGATTAAAAAACGGTCTTTTTTCTTCGCCCATTACTACTGGAAAATTGGTCTATTTATAAGTTTTTTACATCATGACAGCTATTTTGCCTACTCAGTTTACGTGTATGCATATTAAATACTTCAATTTACACCAATTTGGAGGTGCGCTCTTGGTTTTAAAAGTCTAATGTTCTATTTTCTTATAGATCGATCTTTTAACAACTTAAGCCTAGTTTTGGGGCATCCCACCTACCAAACTGTTAAAAATTTCCAAGAGTAAGCTGCCATATTATTTATAATTCCAGTATAATTTAAGTTTTAGTGTTAATGACTTTTTTATCGTTCCTAGCGGTAATATCAAAACCTTTCAATACAGCAAGGATGCTAGATATATTAGTTTGGCGTCACCAGAAAGGTGATTATTCTTGCAAACATTTGATCGATCTATCTGTCAAAATTATAATACAAATACTTATTTCAATTTATCGTATCTGTATGTGTAGCGTAAAGATTATAGACTCTAATAATGCAGAGCCTCGTAGCGAAATCGAAAAGAAAAATATTGTTGAAATCGGATTTTCTCCAAAGGGGACATATATTTCCACGTGGGAGAGGCCAGGTAAAAACGGTTACCAAATATATTTGAAAGGGAATCATTAAATGCTTACATATGTCATTTACAATTAGTTAAACTATCTGAAAATTTGGTACACAAGAATTTAATCATATGGGAAACGGCGACCGCGCAAATGTTGATTCAATTTACGCAAAAGAGTCAGGCAAATTGGTAATAAAATTGTTCAATTGTTGAAATATGACTATTGCGTTTAATATTCTTTCATTAACTTGTATATCTGTTAGGAATGTTCAATGGACTGAAGATGAATCGTTCTTTAGTCGTATGGTTACTGGTGAAGTTCATTTCTACGACAGCAAGCGTATTGACAAAATTCATGCCAAACTACGGTTAGAAAACATCGTTGATTTTTCCCTGTCTCCCGGAAAAAATCCATCCATAGCCGTATTTATCCCAGAAAAAAATGTATGTATATTTTATATCGCGTGCGATCAACAAGAATAATTCTAAGTCAATCTACTATATAAATAATGCATTGTAGAGTGCTCCAGCATCTGTTCGTATTTATTCGATAACCAACTTTAATTCTTCATTGGCACAAAAAACTTTTTTCAAAGCCGATAAAGTTCGAATGCATTGGAACGATCTTGGTACGAACTTACTGGTTCTAACACAAACTGAGGTGGATAAGACGAATAAGTCTTATTACGGAGGTAATTGGCAATCTCTTAACACAACAAAAGTTCCTTATTGATAAGAATTGATGGTAACTTAAAAATGACGCGAACTAAGAATTAGTTTGAACTTGAACAGAGTCCAACTTATATTTCTTATCCGTGGCTGGCAATTATGATTGCTGTGTCCAACTTAGTAAGTATTTAATATTCGTACGTGCTGTATGTTATATTTATTCACGTTTATTATATTTTAGAAAAGGATGGTCCAATACATGACGTCGCTTGGAGTCCAAACTCTAAAGAATTTATAGTGATTTATGGATGTATGCATTAATAATAATTTCAATTTGATATTGCTTTGATATTAATTATGTAAATTTTGATCCAGACATGCCTGCCAACGCGACATTATTCGATCATCGCGCAAATCCCATACATGAATTCGGCGTCAATCCTCGTAACACTGTAAGGTTCAATCCTCAAGGAAGACATATCCTTCATTTAATTCACAAATATATCATTTTCTTGATTCATTCGCCCGAGTTTTCAAAAATGTTGAATTCTTAACATTAGAATTCAATAATAATTTACTGATATTGATAGCCGGTTTCGGGAATCTTGCCGGAACAATAGATATTTGGGATCGTGAGAATTTGAAAAAAATATCGACCATAGAAGCTACTAATTCGTCTGAATGTTTTTGGTCGCCTGATGGACGTTATATAATGACTGCAATTCTAAGTCCCCGTCTACGAGTTGATAATGGTTATAAAATTTGGCATTATACCGGTGTACTAGTACATGATGAGAGTATTCAGGAATTATTACAGGTTCGAAAGTTAATTTAGATAGTGGAACAATCGCGTTTATACTCTCAAACATCCGTCACCTTTGAAGATAGTCGATATTTTATCGCATTTATAGTACTTGGCGGTTTTCAAACGGGTGAACTTATTTAAAATCTTAATAGTTGCCTAAAGTAATGGGTTACACGTAGAGGGCTATAAATATGAAATGATGTACATTATTTAAGCCATTAATTTATGATTATGTTATTGCCGTGATAGGTTCAATGGAGGCCAGCTAGTGTAGAACTATATCCAATGCGTACCTTATCACCACCGCCTAAAGTTTCGGAGGATTCTGCCGCATTAGCTGCAAAACCTTCACGTAATTCGTCGGTTTGTTTATTTACGTAAGGGATATTTTTAAACCAGAGAAAATTAATTTGCTATTTATATTTAAGCAGCTAAGAAAGTAGGCGCTTATCGACCTCCACATGCACGTGGTACAGCAACGCCAGATATGTTTAAGGTAGTTTTGTATGATATTTAAATTGAAGTTGACTAATTTATTGTTAATATGTAAGTGCATTGGATAATTCCTTATAGCGTGAAGACGAAGCAAGTAAGCGTTTGCACGTACATGGTCATGGAAATAAACCTATACCAGTAGGAGCATCTGAAGGTAAGTTTATTTAGAATAATTTATTACTTCCTTTAAACTAATGGTTAATTATTGTTTTAATTATTATTTTATTATTATTATTATTAGTATCTACAAAAGCCGCTGTCAAAAACAAAAAGAAGCGTGAAGCGGCAAAGAAAAAAAAGGAAGAAGCAAGTCTTGCTTCTGAAAATAGTGGTACATAATAATTATATTTTTTGCTTTATCGGTTGCCTTTAATTAGAAAATTCACACTGTCTTAATATCTAGGTGCAGCATCACCGTTACCACCAATATCAGCACCAACTCAACAGGTTATTAATAATGGTATAATAGATGTTACTGAAACAGTTAAAGAACCTATAGCATCAATTACATCGACAAATGGAATATCCCAGGGCGGAAGTTTATTATCAGAAACAGATAAAAAGATTCGAAATTTAACTAAGAAGCTAAGGCAAATTGCTGAACTTAAAGAAAGGCAACAAAAAGGTGATAAATTAGAACTGACACAGGTATGTATACTCACTAGAGGTTGCAGGCGAATTGCCGTAACTTGTCGTAACATAATAAAGTTACGGCAAAAATGCCGTAACTCATTATAATTATTACATATTACAGAGGTAGTTACGACAAGTTACGGCAAAAGTTACTGCATCATTGGGACGATTCGCCTGCATCACTAATACTCACCTACAATAAATTATCAGACTGATTTTATTAGTGAAATATATAAAAAGAAAAGTTTACTCTTTAATGAAAATTTTTAATTTATTAATAACTTATTTTTAATTGAATAAAGGATAATTACGCTCCTTAAAAATAGTTATTATTTTGTTTTTAAATTTTATAGCTTTCTAGCTAATAAGTTGGCCTTACAAATTTTATAAAAAATGTATAGGCAAATTTCTTAACTAGAAGGTTTGCTTATAAAGAATTTTTAGGAAGCGTATTTAATTTTAATTGAGTAAAAAGATAAGTTATTAATAGGATGTATATACTTGAAGGATCAAAATTATTTAATTATGCAGTCCGGTAATTTATTGGGGCATGTGTATGATAAAATTGCATTTACTTGTCGCTAATTCAATATCTAATACTTTGCGAAAAACAGTTACAAAAAATTGCCACTGAGGCTGCATTACGCAAAGAATTGGACATGCTGAAATCTTAAAGTTTTTTATCAGCCAGCAATCTTTTTATTATAAAGCTTTGGTTACTGAATCTTTTGGTGAGGAAAATGTAGAATCAAATTGCTAATACTTTTGTTTGGTTAAATATATTTATGCATTCTGCTTGTATTAATATATTTTCTATCAGAGCCAACGCCTTACAATATATATATTGCAAAAAATTTAATATTTAATTTGGGAAAAATGTGCTAGGACTGTTACTCGGGTCGAAAAAGAGTAATATATAAAGTATATAGTATAGTATAAAAAATAAACGTACAGTCTTCCTTCTCTATAATCACCCAGTTTGTTAATCTCTTTTTATTGATTATTTTTGAAATTTAAAACTTAAATATAACTAATTGTCCGGAGCGTAGCGGAGGACGCTCAATTTCCGATGCAAAAGTTACGCTTTTGATGCTTCAGAAGTATCGTTCTTGACGTTTCCATAGTAAATAGTTGTGCAACACAACAAATCTTATGTGATTTCGCTCCGGACTTTTAACGGTTTCCGTTTCTTAGTATAATAGTAAATACTAAAAATATTGACAAGTTTTTAGTGATACTGATCTGAGTGCCATCAAGCGAAAATTCCAATTATTGTAGTGATACAAAAATTACGATTTTGATGCATCAACAGTTACATTTTTGATTCACCTCATATTATCATTTAAGGTAACACATCAAAAATATATCTTTGTAATTTTTTGTCTGTTCGCATGCGTGCCACGTGATTACTATAATTAATTGTTACTATATATACATATCGGTGTAAAAAAAACAAATACTAGTAACTTGCTTTTTATAGTCAATCTAGTACTTTATAACAATTGTTAGAATCTGTACTTTGTAATCAATATTACTTATCTTTATTGTTATTATTTTAATGAAGCAAGGAATTAGAGGTTGGAACCAGTTTTATTTTTATTAACCAGTTTTATTAACTTTTTAAAAATTACAATCGAATATAAATCAGTTATATTATATCCAGTTAAATTCAGTTAATCTTTTTTTTTGTTTTTGATCAATTTAGCAGTCTTGCCTTTACTTTATTAGGCTTTATAATATTATACTATGAAATATTAAAATTTTCAAAGAGTATAAACCCTGATACCACCAAAAACTCTTCCCATCAATCACCTGGACCAAATTTTTTGCTAACAAAAAACAAGTTTTTGTTGGAGAGTCGTGGCCTAACTTGAGGTTTGGCGAGAGGTTAATGATGTTCTTTGCCCAGGACTCCTCTTTAGGCTGTTTGGCATGCAAGCCAAGAGCATTAGTATTCAAGATAACTAGCAGGTGGTGCCCTTGAATAAAAAATCTTGGTGGAGGGATGAAGAGCTCTTCTTCATTGACAAAGCTTTTAGGCTGTTATTTCTTGGAAGAACACAGAGAAAACAACAAACAACTTGAGATTTCAACACACTTTTTAGAAAATTTTTAAGTCTTTGCAGCCATACACTCTCAACCATATTCTCGCTAGGTTTTAGATTTTTAGGAAATTTTTTGCTAACAAAAAGTGGGAGAATCAGCTTACCCTCTCCTAATGTTGTTAGCTAAAATTGTTTTATGCTTGTAGAAATATTTTGACATTTGATATTTAGTCTGCCAAAATGTCTAAATATTGCCGAAATCCTAAATTATGCCGAAATGTCCAAATAATGTCAAAATGTCTAAATTAAAAAATATATATGAAAAAACATAAGGGAATTAGAGCTATTAATTAGTTTCGACTAAAACCTTCAGTCTTGTGATCCTCCTTAGAACCAGGCCAATCTGATCTTTTATGGGCCATACAGGCCAAAAGACTATCGGTCCAAGTATAATAGCTTTAAATTATTGTAGCAAGCATGTGTAGCCTAATTTTTTATATATATAGGGTTAATTTTTTAATACTGTTGTATCTAGATATTATAAAGCTGCTACAGTAATTGTTAAAATACTGTAATGCTACAAATAGTATAGAATAACATAGGATAAAATTCTGCTAGTGTTTATTATTTAAAGCAATTTTTAGAATTAAGATATTTACTGGTTTCATGAATAGTAAATCATTGATTATCAAAGTTCATAGCAAAAGATCTTAATTTTTTTTTTATTGTTCAGTCAAGATTATTTCTTATAGCTGTAAGTTTGTTTTTGGATTATCCTTAACTAAAAAGACTTGTTTTTGAATGGTTTAAAATTTCTAAATTGTTCTATATTTTTACTAATGCGAAAGCAGACGTAAATTCTCAAACTACAGATCTACAACGTAGCTATTATGTTCATGGTTAAATTAGTAACAGTAATGCGAGTTATCTTATATTCTTTTATGGGTGATGAATAATTATGATTGGTCATTAATTTAAGAAATCGTTGTTAAAAAGAATAAACACAAAGCATTCAAATATTATCAAAAATCTGATAGTAATTTAATTTTAAACTATACTACTAACCCTACTCTAACTTAAGCTGAATGTTTAATCATATTAAGTTGCAGTGTAATAAGCATAAGAGGTTGTTAATTACTTTTTTAACTATATAAACATGTATTGCCAAATACACTGTTTAATTTGATATTCGTAATTCCAAATTTGATCTTTATTTCTTAAAAAATATGTTAATTTTGAAAGACCCTAATAAATATTCGCAAACACTGCACTTTCTTAAACTATACTGATTACCACAGTAATAAATTAGCGACGCCAAGAGAAATGTGACTTCAATCATCCAGAATTTATATGATTGAAGTTTCATTTTCATATTTAGTCAATCATTTAGACATTTAGTCACATAATATTTATTTAGACTTTTGACATGTCGAAAAAAAATAATGCCATGTCGAAATATATTTAGACACAAATTGTCTAAATGGTTGACTAAATTAAGTATTTCGACTAACAACATTACCTATACTCCACATTCACAATTTTCTCGTGATCGTGTGGTTGGGTAATAAAAGTATTTCGAATTAACCGCAGATTCGCGATTTTGATTGGTTAAGAGCGACGATCAAAAAATTGGGCCGGAATTACTCATAATTTTACTAATGAAATCGCAGCCGCCCATTAGGTGAAAATTGTTCCTAGACCAATTTTACCATAGTACGATTTTTGTAATGAAAAAATTAAAGTTAATTCCGGCCGAAAATTAGCAAACAATTTGTAATGTGGCCAAGTTTTTGAAGATCCTCGGCCGTTAGCCAATCAAAATCGAGAATCTACCGGTCCAGTTTTGTTGCGGCAACTATGGTTAATGTTAATGCAGTAATGGGCAAAGGCTAACTGTGCCACCAACCTGGTACACATTCAGGACCTAAAAAGAAATAACGTACAAATTCTATTTTTTCAAAGTACGTAGTACGTACTTATTTACATAATTGCTTACCGGCAAATGTTTATCAAAAAAAAGGCTAATTTTATCATCGGCTATGCCTTCTGATACAAAAATTCTAAAAAAGATCTTTTAAACTCTCACCTATTTTTGAAAAAAGTTAATTCTTAAACCCTTTAATAGGAGGTTTCAAAGTTAACAAATAAGTGGCGCATTTTGAAATTAAATGAAAGTTCGAAAAATCTTATAAGATTTTAAAATCGGAAAAAGAAATGGGAGTGTTTAGAGATCCCCATTTCATGAAATCGACAATTTTTTATCATACTTCGTAAAAAAATAAATAAATAAAAAGTAAAACCTTCGTTCAAATTGAAGATCAAATAAATACGTCATCAATTTCAAATAAAATTAGATTTCCACATTTTAACTTTGAAACCCCCTATTAGCAAATCGTACGTACAGTACAGTCCTATGTTAACTAATTATTTTGTCATCTGAATTACGCACATAGAAATAATCACGACATATTGAGCTACAGTATCTTTGATCGATGGTCATGCCAAGAAATTTATCGTGCTTTTCAAATTATGCCACATCACTGGAAATTTGGGAATCGGAAATCTATTAAATGCAAGCCTGTGATTGGCGAAAATTATGCTACGTAATTGTACGGTGTAACTATGTATAAAATTCTAGTATTGAAGGTTTTAAAAAAATTTGGTTGAAGAGTTCTCATTAACGGGTTGATATTAATGCTTAAGACCATTTTTAAATTCTACTAGCCAGTAGAATTTTGAAAATAGCTTCGAATATCGATAATAACCAGACATTATTATTATCAAGATAAATTCGGTTGAAGTTTGAGAAAGTTTAGGTAAAAAAAGCCAAAAAATATTAGTGCTCCTTGATTAGACATTTATAAGATATTATATATAGATGGATAATATACTAATGAATTAGAATTCGTCAAAGAATCTTTGTGACTTTTTAAGTGGCAATTTTTAAAAAATGAAAAATTTAGAGGAATTTTTTCGGATTTTTACATTATTTGCGATCATCTGCTTGATCACAGTTATTCGAAAAGCACGATAACTATTTAAGAAATATCGTAGGTAGTTAAATTGGAATTAAAGATTGAAATCATTTTAACCGGCTCATAGTTCGGCTTAATGTTATTGATCGTTAACACAAAATTTTAGTGAACGTTATTATAACCCGGCTGGATGAGGCTTTCTAAACAGTGTTAAATGATTGAATATTTTCTAGGCGATTTTAAATCCTAATTAGAAAACATCAAATAAAATATAAGATTTATAATTTAAATAAAAATTACAATAATATAGCAGTATATGTATGAATATTAAAGTCAGGTCAGCATATAAATAAATTATTAATAAGCTGTTATAATTTAAGTTTTAAACTTTGAAGATAATCTGTTGGACTATCCGTTCCTGCTTTTACCTTATTTTAATTATATTTATTAAACAATCGATAATTGATATAAAACAATATTGAAGGCGTTCTTTTCTCCTAATTGGATAATTTGGCATTTTTTAATAACTCTATGCAATATACAGTACAAAAAAAGTGGTATAGATTCGATCTACCGCTTAACCAAAATAAGTGGATGCTTTCACGTCCCGTTATCCGGCAAACTCATATGATCATGAAAAAATTTCTTTTTGTT